AATAAGTTAGCATACTATCAAGTCTTTAAATATTAGATAAATCCATGTGGCAATTGATATAGTCCATACTTGAATTTGAGAATCATTTTTTCTGGTTCATCACTTTGAAATTCTATTCTCTTAAGATATATTTTGAAGAAGAAGTTTTAAAAGCTCACATTTCCTTTTAAATTTATTTTTTGAATTAATTTTTTGTTTTAAAAGGACTTTAACCTGTAAGGAACTTGAGCTATAGTTGATAAAATTTAAATTTCTAACCTTTTTGGATTTTAGTGCAGTTAATTAATTTCTTAGTAAGCTTTTGAATAAAATCAAGAGGTAACTTTATTATTTTGAGAAAAATTGCTAAAATTAATTGATTATTTCTAAACATCACCACCACGTCCACCAGATTAGGGTTGGTTTGATCATTTACATATGTTTCTTTTTTTATTGTTAGTTTCTTTTTCTTTGTTTCTCTTATTTTTGATAATATAAAAGGGGAGAATGTATTTATCTAGTTGCATTTGTTCATCTTATATTTGTATTTGTTTATGTATTATTTCAGTTTACTAATCAGTTTCTAAGTTTCTTAATTTCATTTCTCCTACATAAAAAAATATTTTTGGTATCCCCAATTCTTTAATATAATTATCTTAGTAAGGGAGAGATTAAGAGAAAATATTTATAAATTTGCAAATTCAACTAGTAATGTTTGTCATCATCAAAAAAAGGAAAATTATTTTAACTCGAGCTCACAAGTTTTGTTGATGATAACAAATATTGCATTTAACTTCATTTTGTTTACTTATATTTACAATGTATATTTATTTATATGTATACTAATATTTTAAGAACACCATGCACCATCCAACAAAGATTCAAGGCTAAATATTGGGTAGAATAGGTTATGTGGTAAAGATTTTTGTAATATTACTTAATATATTTTTGATTTCTTGAGTTATGTCCTATAAGGGTGTATATTAGCATGGTGACCATGTACACACACAGTTAGGGGAGTGAGATCTAGTTTTTTCTAGAAGTTTAAATTTTAAATTCCTTATACTATACAATTTATATCATACTATATGATCAACTCATCTAATAAATTATACTAGATGATTTAGATCATCCAGGACAATCAGTTTTGATTATTAAAAATAGCTACCAATCATAATTTAGGCAAGCTTTTAAGATTTAAAATTTTTCTAGTCATCAAGGATGGTCTATATCATATTAGAAGATTTATGACAATCATGCCTATATTACTTCTGGGCTTAGGGGACTAATTATGGTTAATTTATTCTATCTGATCATCTTGGACTATCTGTAATGATTATATAGGATGACCAAGAGGATGCATGAGATAACCCATAATTATATAAGATGAATACAATAATCATTCATCTAATCATGTATAATAACCACAATATTATATTGGATGATCAATACAAATTTGAACTGATGGTACTAGACTATCTCATGATTGCATAGTACTATCGAGTCAAATCATACACATCCACTACAAGAAAATCACACATTTCTGGTGGCTTTTTCCTGCGGAATTTGAGAAGTTTATGGCAGTTTTTTAATTTTCTGGCAGTTTTCCGGCGGTTTTCCGGCGGCAAAAATGATGCCGGTGGCTTGCCGACGGACACAAACCGCCGGTTGAATAAAAAAAAATAAATTCAGGCGGCTTGTTGGCGGCGACCCCGTACAGCCGCTCCCGCCAGCTTCCCGGGTGACCTGATCCCGTCAGCACGCCAGCGCGCGCTCCGGCTGTCGTGCCAGACCGCGGGTCACGCCAGACCAGACCGAGCCCGAGTGTGCCAACTCGCCCGCACCCGCGTCTGTCTTCCCTGAGATTCGAACCGTAGACCTCCTCACCCGCAGCCCCGATGCCTGGCCAATGCGCCGATTCTGCAAAATGGTTAAATGTAAGTATTTTTTTATATATATTAAAACAGTCTGATTATTATAATTAAACATTATTTATTTAAAATTTTTATTTTAATTGACAATTAAAATAAACTAGTTAAGTAAAGCCGCCGGTAATCCGTCGGAAAGCCGCCGGAAAATTCTGCGGGAAAATTTTACGTGAAATTAGCCGTCGCAAAATTTTGCAAGGAAATTAGCCGTCGGAAAGCCGCCTGTAATCTGTTGGAAAGCCGCCGGAAAATTTCGTGGGATAATATTGCGGGAAATTAGCCGTCGCAAACTTTTGCAGGGAAATTAGCCGTCAGAAATCCCCCGGTAATCCATCGGAAAGCCGCCGGAAAATTTTATAAGAAATAAGCCGTCAAGAACCGCCGAAAAGCCGCCGGAAAACTAACCGCCGGAAAGCCGCCGGAAAATTCCGCCGGTAATAAGTGATTTTCCTGTAGTGATCGTACTGGATGATCTTATGATTATACTATATGATCTTTGGTGATAGAATTAAGTTCTTAGGCTATTTTAAAGCCCTATATTTACGATTTCTCCAAAGGCATTGTAAGTATCTTTTAACATGCTTTGAGTCTTCATTTCTCTAGAGAAAACTTAAAGAGAGAGCCTTGAAAGGAGAGAGGAAAGGGTGGAGTTTGGGAGGAAGAAGATCCTTATAGGTTTCAAGAGAGTATGCAAGGGGGTTAACATGGTTGCTCTGACAAGCTTGCATCCTAGTACCACCATATTCAAGGTTTATCTTGAGGAAAGTTCTGGGAAGAAGAAGATATCTTTTGTGTCAGGGGACCAAGCTACTCTTCCGCATCGAGGAAGGTGAAAATGATTCAAGGTTCTCTACCTCATCAGGAGAGTGAAAAGGAGTCAAGATTCTTTGCTTCACCAAGAGGGTGAGAAGGAGTCAAGGTGTTCATCATGTTAAAGGAGTATTTTCATCTACTGCATCAGGTTAGTGGAAGAAAGTTTGTAAGGGTTTCTCCACCAAGCTATGGGAGCTAAAGGAGAGTCTTTAAAGGTTAAATGCAATACCTGAAATAGAAGATTTTGGGGAGTGGTCGTAGGTCAGGTTGACCAAACAACTTTAAATCTCTGGTGTATTTATTCTTAGTTTTATTTTTTTATACTTTATTTTTTGTATTTATTTTTGTGATAATTACATGGTTAAAAATCTCTGATTTTTTATTATTATAAAATTAATCCTCTTTCGCATCATGTGATACAATTATCTATTTTTAGATGTTGAACAAGATTTTAAAAGACGGATTTTTCTTTGTCTTTAAAGAAGTTTTTTAAATCACCAATTCACTCCCCTCTTGGTTAGCCTCGGGACTAGATCTATATGGTCTAACAACCTTCACAAACTTTTATTGCAATGGTATCAATCTCGCCAACTATTAGATGATTATTCAATGATTGTCTCTGTTATTATTGATTTTGCTCTGAGTAGGATGAGCTTCCTGTCGAGAAAGTGGATCTCAAATAAACCGTTTAAGATAAACTTGGTGAATAAGCCTTTTAATTCCATCCTTGAGCTACTTGCAGGCTTCGATAGTGTGGCCATGTCTACGATGAAAATGACAGTATTGATCCTAATTTTCTTTTTTCAGCTTCAAAGGATTAGGACACTTCACATTTTCTTGATCTCAGATGGCCATCAACACATTTCCTAAGATATATTAAGTGGTATACTCCTTCTCCTATCAAGGTTCATGTCATAGCATTGGAGGCCTAGGAGGTTGATTATTTATCTTTTATTTCTTTCATTATGAAAATGAATTATCCATCCCAAATTCACATTTATGATTTCCATTTATTTACTCAAATTTCTTTTTATGATCATTTACAAATTCATCTGTGGAGATTTATACCTCCAAGCATATATCAGGTTTGTGTATGAATGAACCATGTCTCACTTGAGTGCCAAATAGAATGGGCTAGGATGAAGGCCCCCATGAAAGACTCCTCTCAGCAATTCAGGATATAATCTTATAATTTGTCGAGCCTTTGTGGAAAATTATTAAAAATAATCCTTTAGTGATTCTCTATCATTTTTTGGATCACAGAAATGTGAGAAAATAAATTATTCGATGAACACTTTGACCAATTTGATAATATTAGGGATCGTTCTGGATAGAACTGAATAAAACCATGTTCGAGCTTGTTCTTTGAGGGTAGCAGGAAAAACCTAGTAGAGGAAAACATACGAGGCTTAATAGATGTGAATAATGGTTATATAGTAATCGATATACTTGTATGGGTCTATTATTCCATCATAGGAATCAATGTTATGTAGTTTAAATCTTACTGGAATGGGATGTTGAAGAAAGGCTTTAGTTAGGGCTGATGACTTCTAGAAGTCCCACTAATAAAGATGTTGTCTTATACCTACTATAAGGAACTCTTCTCAGACCAATCTTCACAGTTCATGTCGTAGGGCATTACGAGGGAGCTTAGTAACATTTGGTAGGACTAAGTGTTCAAGGATGATCAGAGGAATGCAAGGTTGCCAACTTGTATATAAAGGATCGGTAGAACTTGTAGTGTTAGTAATTTTATTATCTGGCGGGCAATTTCTGGTGGCGGGTTTGAAGATCGCTGATCGGAAGAAGGTATTCCGACCTTCTTTCGGTGTTGTAATGGCTTCTGGACGATCAACTGGATCTGATCGTGTGGTGAATAAAGGTGTTGTGATTAGAGAGGGTTTTCGACCTCTGCGTCGTCAAGATTTGAATCCTAAAGGTAAAGGTAAGAAACCTTTGCTTGAACGTTCTACAGGGGGAATCATTGATAATACTAGACCGTTGTTGGTATCTGAAAATTTGAATTTGGATACGTCATCGTCGGCGAAATTAGTCTTGAAAGTTAATAAGTCTCTATGTAACAAGGAGATTGTTACGGGTCGGAATTCAACGACCAATATTGAGATTCTGGATCAAGAAGTACCTAGAGATGTTGATTCTATGCAGGGGTGTGTTAATAAGGATGGAAATGGTGATAATGAAAATTCGAAAGATGAATTTGTTGAAGCTTGGAAGTAACCACAGCATATCAGGCTTTCTTTCAACGATGATATTGTTGAAATGTTGGATGATGGAGTTGCAGTCAAGTTAAATGCGGAAAAGGAGAATATGAATTCAAAGGTGCTGAAGTTTTTGCTAGTTGTTAAAGTCCTGGGCAACAAGATTTCTTTTCCTATGTGTAGTGTTGAATTGAGAAGACACTGGAACAAATTTGGGAATTTCCATATGACGTCGCTGGGTATGAACTGGATTCTTTGCTCTTTCATAAGTGAGGAGGCAATGGATGAAGTACTCAATGGTGGTCCATGGTATGTTGGAGGTTACATAGTGGGAATGGACAAATGGTCTACGTCTTTCAATCCCAATTCCTTCAACGGGATCACTGCTCCAGTCTGGATACGTCTCCCCTGTTTGCCTCTCTACTGTTGGGATGAAGAGAATATTACCCGAATTGCGTCAAAGATAGGAGTACCTATGTACGTGGATGGAAACTCTTTCAGATGGGGAAAACATGAGTTTGTACGTGTTTGTATAAGATTGAATCTTGAAAATAGCCTTCCTAAGGGTGTATGGATTGACGGCATTGCTGGAAGATTCTTTCAGCATATTGAATATGAGAAGATTGATATGCTCTGTTTTTATTGTGGTAAGGTGGGGCATGACAAGGATTTGTGTCCTGAAATTAAAAAGGTTGATGTGGCTGCTAAGGTGAGCATCAAGCAGGAAAATGTGGTTAGTATCCCCACATAGGAAAAAATTTCTGAACCAGAGTATGATCCGTGGATCCATGTGCGATTCAAAAATTGAATTTATAGAAATTATAGAGTTAGTAGAGAAGGAAGAAAATTAAGAATGGAGAAGACAGTTAACAGTAAGGTGTTGGTTGCAGATCATCAGGAGAAATTGGAAGCAAATTTTGTTTCTGTCCAGGATGAATTTCAGAAGGAAGTGGGCTCTGTTGTGGTTAATAACGATAAGGAGAATGAGGTCAATGTTTGAAGAAAAAAATAAGTTCCAAATTCTAATGAATGAGGTGGAAGAGGGAGAAGTTACGAATCAACACTTTGAAGGAAAATCTGAGGATTCAAGATTGTTAGAAGGAAATGTGAGTGATCAGAAGTCTGCTAGGGTATTCAACAGCAATTCGGTTAAGGTTAAGTTGGCTAAGGAATTGAGATCTTTGGGTCCGGTTGAGCCAGAGCATATGAATAAGAGAAGAGATGGGAAGGGCAATTTGATTGGCGGGGATGGTTCCCCTCTTGCTGATTAATGATGACTTTACTATTTTGGAACTGCAGGGGAGACATAAAGAGAGAGGCTTCGCTGTATTTGAAGGAATTTGTTAGGGAACATGAGGTCATTTTTATTGGCATTATGGAGACTAAGCTTAGTAATATTGATAGAAGAGATGTGGACTGCTTTATTGGGAGAGATTGGGATTTTTTTATCACCCTGCAGTGGGCTTGTCTGGGGGTATTCTGATTATTTGGAACAGGAACAAAGTTTCTTTTGTTGTTCAAGAAAGTTCTTCTCAAGCGGTTATTGGAGTTCTTTCTACTCCTTTGATGGGAGATTAGAAAGTGGCAGCAGTTTATGAGAGTAGATGTTGTGTGGAGAGAAGGGATCTTTGGAGTTTACTTGAGAAGAACATGGCCGGGTCGGGTCCTTCTTTAGTGGGGGGAGACTTTAATTGTACTCTTAAGAAGGAAGAGAAGAAGGGTGGGAAGAGGTTCATCTTTTCTAGGGGGCCTAGAGAGATGAAAAGTTTTATGACTAATTCTGATTTCTAAGATGCAGGTTTTATTGGACCAAGTTACTCTTGGTGTAATAATAAAGATGGTTACTCAAGGATTTGGGAGAGGCTTGATAGAAGCTTGCTGAATTCAGCCTCATTGCAATTGGTTCCTGCTGGAAGAGCAAGACATCTAGCTCGGGTGGCGTCGGATCATAGTCCGATTGTATATAGGATGGAAGCTTTGCATTCTACAAAGGACAGACACTTCAGATTTGAGGACACTTGGAGATCATATCCAGCTTCAAGAGGCATTGTTTACAACTCTTGGTTGAAGAAGGACTTTGGAGATGAGGTAGAGATTCTTCATATAAAGATTAGAAGGACTTTGAAGGCCCTATTCTTTTGGAATAGGAATAAATGCAAAGATCTTTGCAAGCTTAGAGATGAGTTAAAGAAGGACATTCTGGATTTACAATCCAAAGAGATGTCTGATGTGGATTTCTCGGTTGATGATTTGTGTATTCTTAGGCAAAAGGTGCATGAATTAAATGTTACTTTGAAGAGACTTGCAACATGGTGGAAGCAAAGGGCTAAGACTAGGTTGATTGAGGAAGGTGATATGAATTCTGCATTCTTTCATAACTTTGCATCTGCAAAAAGGAGTGGTAACTTGATTAAGCATATTAAGAATGGGGCAATCGGATAGTTGATGAGGAAGAACAAATTGAGCAGATTTTTCTACATTTTTTTGAAGAAAAGTGGAAGCACAAGAGTTGTCTTCTAACGGGTTGGCCAGAGATTGATACTTCATAGAGACTTAGTGAGTTGGATAGGAAGATGTTAGACTCTGAATTTGTGATGGAAGAGTGCAGGGTGGCTGTATTCCAGCAGGGAAACAACAAATCTCCAGGATCTGATGGTGTCACTTCTTCTTTCTTCAAGAGTTATTGGAACATTGTTGGAGAAACTACTTGGTTGGCTATCAAGAAGTTTTTTAGCACTGGTTTTATGCATAAAAATTGGAAAGGCACATTGATTGTGTTAATCCCCAAGGTGAATAATCTGATTGTCCCTTCAAATTTTCGACCCATTAGCCTTTGTCAAACTACATAAAAGATTGTAGCCTATATGCTTGTGAATAGACTTAAGAACCTCATGCATAAGATGATTTCTGAGGAGCATCTAGCTTTCACTCCAGGGAGATCGATGTCTGAGCATTGCATTCTTGCTCAAGAGATTTTCCATAAGTTTAAAACCTCAAGAAATAAAAAAGGATTAATGGCAGTGAAGCTTGATATGGAGCAGGTTTATGACAGCATGGGGTGGAGTACTTTGCAGAAAATCCTTGACTGGTATGGATTTCCTTTGGCTTTTTCTGGTTTTGTTATGGAATGTGTGTTGAATGTGAGGTTTGCCATTATCCTGAATGGGAAGAAGCTCAGATGGATAGAAGCTTGTAGTGGATTTTGTCAAGGTTGTCCATTGTCACCGTACTTGTTCATTATGTGTGCTCAACTCCTTTCTAATGCTTTGGTGCAAAGGGGTCATAGTTTGGGCATTCAGGTGGCTTCTAAGGGACCAAGAATTACTCATTTACTTTATACTGACGATGTTCTTATCTTCTCTCAAGCAACATGTGGATTGGCTAGACTTATGATGAAAATCATTCAGGAGTTTTGTAAGTGGACGGGTTTGAAGGTGAATTCTTACAAGCCTCAAATCCTATTTGGTAAAGCTGTTCGCAGAGCTAGAAAGAAGAGGTTGACAAAAATTCTCGATTTAAAGGCTGTCAATGGATTTCCAAGACATTTTGGCTCAGGTTATGGAGAAGCTAAATGTTTGGTTAAAGAAAACTTTATCTTTGGGAGGGAGAATTGTGCTTTTAAAATCCTCTTTATTAGCTTTTCCAAATTTCATTATTAAGCATTCGTTGGTTCCTAAAAAAGTGCTGCAGGAGATTGAGAAGTTGTGCAGGAATTTTGTTTGGCACAAATCAAATGGGGGAAGAGGATTACACTATGTTGCTTGGAATGAATTATGTAAGCCAAGAAGTGCTGGTGGTCTTGGTTTACAATCTTGTATCATTAAGAGTGGTACATTGAAAGCTAGACTTGCTTTGAATTACATTCAAAATCCCGAATCTCTGTTACACCGTTCTCCTAATGCCAAATAATCTGACAGTGTTCTGGATGGAACTTATAAACACAACTCTTCTAATGCTTGGAAGATTATGGTAGAAGGAGGAAAGTTTCTCAAGGATGTTGTTAAATGGAAAGTGGGCAATGGTAGGGAAATTGATGTTCTCGGTGACATCTAGATTCTTGACATGAGTTTTAACTCTTGGCCTACTTTTATTAATTGTGTTGATTTAGAAGGTATGAAAGTGCAGCAGCTGTTAAACAATGATGGAAGGTGGGATGACATGAAATTGAGTTTGTTCTTTCATGAGGATTTGGTATGGCTAATCAAGCAAGTTAAGGTAGACAGAGACGGTGGAAGGGATATGCTGGAACCAATTAAGAAGCTGTCGGGTTGTTCTGTTTTAGCCTTGGCTTTTGAAGCTGTGATGAGCAAGAGATACAATGCTCTTGATGATGGTTTTTATGATTGGCTAAGGAAGCTTAAACTCAACTTTAAGGTAGAATTGTTTTGGTGGAGGCTGAGTAAATTTGATATCCCATCTAACTCTTTCCTTAAATTCAGAAGATTGGCTACTAGTGATTCTTGTGCTAGAGGCTGCTGTGAAGCTAAAAACTATGAACATATTGTGGTTCGCTGCAAGTTTTTTAATGAAATTATTTCCAAAATCAGAGAGTGGGGATTTGCTATAAACATTTTTCATACTCTTGATGAATGTTTAATGGAACTTAGACGCCAATCTAGCAGCAATCCAGGAATGGTTAGATTGTACTACACCACGGTTTTTTTGAATTGGAAGAACCGTAATCTTGTCAAGCATGGGAAATCATCAATTTCTGCCTCTATGGTTGCTGTAAATGTGATTAATTACATTCAACAAACTATGAAGATGACTGATTGGCATTTGGAGGAGAGCTTGAATAATAAGCTTTACTTTCTTAATGACTTTAATAAAATCATTTTTCACCATGTAAGTAGGAATTGTAACAAAGTAGCTGATTTTTGTGCTACTTTGGCTTTAATGGCAATTTTTTGTTTGATAGTTCTTCTTTTGGTCGTTTACCATCCACCTTGATGGATTTGATCAAGAACGACGGCTACCCTTTTATCAATTGTAAGTAGTTTCCTTTGGTTCTTTTTATAATGCAAATTTGCAAATTTCAAAAACAAAAAAGAAAGAAAGTAAGTTTATTATCTTGATGTGATTTCATAGGCCTCCTAGGTAGAGGAAGAGAAATATCTGTGTGAAGTTATTTGAGTTGAACATATTTTGGCAAGTGGTGGATCTCAAGGGAGAAGAACCTCCTTCTATGGTGCTAGCAGTTGTTGTCGAGTCTTTCGTAGGAGTTGAAGGATCACATTTTGATATTCTTCCATCTTTCGGATACGCTCTTCTAGGGAAGGTCTTGAATCTCCTTCTCCAACAACACTTTGCCCCTAGGATAAAAAGAGGTAGATACTTGGAATCTATTATTTATAAATTATTTCTTAGATTGGTGGGTGTTGGAGCGGGAGGCTCCAAAGAAATGATTGTTATGCTTATTGGTCGTTAAAGAAATATGTAGAATTATGGTATTGTTCACACAGACAATGCCAAACTATTGTGGGCTATAATATACATTGTGATAGAGTTAGAAAATTTTTTATCTCAACATTGTATGGTATCCAGCACACAAAAAAAGAAATATATAGCACAAAAATGTTTACATGGAAACCTTGGAAAAGGAAAAAATAGTAGGGCCACACCCACTTGAAAGGATTCCATTAGTGTTTGCATAAATTATAAGTGGCTAACTCTTCCTTGAAATTTAGGATGATAATATTACAATAAGTAACTCCCAGGTATAAATTAAGTTATAAATAGAGATAAAAAATA